TCCGCATGTACAAACAGTGTACTCTCCATAGACCATGATTGCTGAGAAGGGATATAACCTCTTCCTTTGCTCACCCTTCTTCAAATGCGAAACAGGCAGACACGCACTCTCTACGAGCTCTACACTACCCCCTGCCCGCATGAAAACTTGAGCCAACTTTTCTTGAGCCAAATCCTCCCTTAATAACCCCTCATGGTCCCCCATATCATCCCCTATATAGCTCCGCTTTAAGGCCTAACCCCTTGCAAAGACAACGGACGAGATTGAGAAATTCCTTCCCAGGAAACTAGGTTATGGTTTAGGGATTTCTTTATTTTTTAGGGTTTAGGGTGTACATACGGACCTTGGTTGAACGTTCAAGGTTTAGGGTTTATAGTCCCTCTTAAGTATAGAGATGGGACATATGCGGATCTTATCGTAATATACCCAAAGCCATAATCCATCTACTTAAGGGGGACAATTGCGTTTAGGGTTTAATCTTGAAACCCCAAACCATAAGCACCAAGCACGCCGGCTCTAAAGCCAACTGGGTGTTTAGGATTTTGGCAATCTGGAAAATGTCTGAATGCCTTAGCTATCCATGTGTACATATACTAACCCAAAGAAGCCCAGTCAGCTATGTGTAGTATATATATATATACCTATAGACATATACTCACTGTTCCCAGGTCCTTAAAAACAGCCAGACGTACAGACGTATGGTCCCCAAGTCCTTTCAGGAACCTAAGCTTTCTGTGGCCCAGAACCTCAAACCCTAAACCGGCGCCCAGAATCCCAATATCAAGGTAAGTGGGCTTTGATGGGCTTGCTGATTTCAAGAATGGCGAGAACGCGAGCCTCAGGATATCTGGGCTCACGTAACTTTAAGTTCAGGAGTTCAGGGGTTTAGGGTTTAGGGTGCACCCTATGTATATCAATGCGAAGTCCTAAACGACTTCCAGATGAAGCCCCCAACCCTAAACCAGCTGGGAGGCAGTAGCTTGCTTCGCACCTGGGATCTTGGTGTTTAGTGCCATCTTTTATGCTATACTTTCTGCACTAAGTCTTACCAATCACCCCAACTAAACCCTAAACCCTAAACCCTATGACCCTAAACCCTATGGGCGGTCCAAGGTCTCTTTTCTTTCCAGGCCCAGGAGAGTTCTGTCTGCAGCCCCAAAGGTGAGGGTGAGCGCACACTAGCGGGTTTAGGGCTTATTTAGGCAAATACATTTACATTACCTGAACCCCAAGACTATGTAGAATAATTGCCTTTTGGGCTATATTCTGGTGTGTTGGGCTATTATTGTACCTACTTTTGGGGTTTAGGTAGTGAGATAACAGCATAACCCATCTACAAAAAGGTAAGTAGTTGGTGGCGGGCGCAGGTCAGCCCCTAAACTCTAAACATAGGAACTATGAAAGCCCGTATCAGGCATACATGCTCAGCGAAGGTTTGAGAATCAAAGCAGCAAAGTTAGGGAATGTTGATTTTCGGCTAATCCTGGAACACGATTTTGGGTTAGGTTAGGGTTTGGTGTTGGGTTTAAGGTTTGGGCTTGCGGGTTTGCCATTCAGGGATTGGTGCTTGAACCTGGGGGTCTGCAGCCGCTGACTATCGATACACATGATCCCAAGGCATTCGCATGAAGGTTCGGCCAAAATGAATGCAGGGAGCTAAAACAACTTGCTGGTTTTTCGTGAGGGAATAAACTACTACTACCTGGGTCAAGCCCCGCACAGTAATGGGTACCACCAGGGACTATTGTAGAGATATTGAGGCACCAATTACTCAGGATGTAAGGGCTATTACTGTAAGGGATTGACCTAGCCCCTAACACCTAATCACAAATTCCATCGCTTTTTCTATTTCTTCATGCTGTACTGACTTGCGTCAGGATTGAATTTAAGGCCGCGTATTCCTCATATTGAATATCATTACTGAGATGCTTTTGGGTTTAGGGTTTACCTAAGCCCCAAAAGTATGTAACATAATAGCCTTAAACCCCTAAGAATAGCCCTCAGGTTATTTTTACATACATTTGGGGTCCAGGTAAACCCTAAACCCTAAACCCCAAACCCTAAACCCCAAACCCTAAACCCTAAACCCCAAAGGATTCATGGCTGAGCCTTTTATCATGTCAAGGTCTTGCGTTCATAGTTAAATCAGCGGCCAACCGTTCAGCCCCCTCAGCCCCTGATCCTCTGAGAAGCCCCTACATACACCTGGATGTCCCCAGCAGCTTCGTAACGCTCTTAGTCTGTGAGTTTTGGTCGCGCGGGGGGAGACTTAAGCTTTGCGTCTTTATGTACTCCGGAATTTTTTCTGACATCCTAACACCTAAGCCCCGAATCCGAACCCTGAATCCAAAGCCCGAATCTCTAGAAGTACGGGCCCTCATAGAGTTTAGGATTTAGGGTCGAAGGTCAAAATTATGGGCCCCTAACACGGGCTCCGGGCCTTTAGGGTATATAGTAGGGATATGAAGATCACAGGGTTCAGGGCCCACACTAGGAGCCCATGGTTTCAACCTCAGATTAGACACCACCCAAAATCGTGGGGCGAAAGGCTTAGGGCAGGGTTTGGGTTTATTATAGAGGGTTTACGGTTTAGGATGCGGGCCTTGGGCTTCAGGACTTATAAGTTTAGAATTTGGGGTCGCGTGTTCATGGTTGAGTGTAAATCCCTGAACTGCTGTGCCGTCAGGCGAGTACAACCGAAGGCACAAGAGTGCTCAAGCAGCAAAAAGCTCGACAGGACCAGGTCCTGCCCTCAGGGTTCTTCAGGGTTGGGGTTAGTTTGTGTTAGTTGGTCGTGCGCTGTGTGGTTCTTGTCTCTTACTTGTCTCGTGGTTTAACAGTGGTAGCGGAGCCTCAGCCGCGGTCTGGGGCAGTTGTTTACTGATACCTGTGTTCAGCGTCTGTTTGTCTCGTGCTTGTGGTGTGCTGGTTTTGTGTAGGTTTAAGGGCCAGGGTCTTGCGCCATGTCGGGCGCCGAAGATCAGAGAGCAGAAGGGAGTGAAGATCCATGGTCTTCGGCCTGGGGTAGTTGGACTGCCGGTCAGGGGAATGGCGGGCGAGTCCAAGGTGACAATGCTGCTGGAAGCAATGAGGGTCAGGGCGACCCCCAGCGTGTGCCAGAAGAAAGTTCTCCAGACCAGACTGGGGAAGCCGGTGCGGGGCAACGAGATCAAGTTGGTCAAGATGGCTGGGTCGATTGGGGACCTCAGAGATCGTGGCGAGATTCCGGGTGGCAAGACTCCGGCTGGCAAGGCAGCTGGGGACAGCCATGGGACGGAAGATGGCATGGAGACTCGTGGCACCGAGGAGGATGTGAATGGCAAGGTGGCCATCGATGGCAACGGTCCGGGTCCGACCAAACCGAACCCACGAGGACTCCGGACGGGAGCGTCAGCGAGGGCGATGGCTCGGGAGCCCGGACCCTCGACCTCACGATGGTGGCGGTGACACGTGGACTACCCGTACAACGACCCCTTCGACATGGACGCCGCCTGCGAGTACGGAGCGACCCGGGACTACCACGCCGGACAACGAGACCTTCGATCAAGGCCGACGCGCAGCACCCAGCGAGAAGATGGCCGTCCCGACCTTCAATGCGGAGTCGTGCGGTGACGAGTTGGGAGCTAGTGCCAGATCCTATCTTCGTCAAGTCGATGCTTGGACTAAGGTGACGCGTCTCCCTCAAGATCAAAGAGCACTTGTTCTATATCAACACCTTCAAGGACGAGCGTGGATCGAGGCTGAGGAGCTCGATGTGGAGACGCTGGCTTCGCCCCGGCATGTCCGTGTTCCGGCGCTGGGTCCAAGAGCGCTACCAGGAGATCGAGGTGAGCAAGATCGCCGAGGCCCTAACTCAGTTCTTCAAGAGACTGAAACGACAGCCTGGGCAAACGGTCCGGGAGTTCAACTCCGCCTTTGACAGGGCGCACACCCGGCTCCTTGAGATCGAATGCCGACTCCCCGAGGTGGCGAGGGCATGGGCATACCTGAACGCCTTGAGTCTGTCAAGTAGCGAGGAGCTGTCCTTGCTCGCCAGTGTCAACAACGAGTACAACACCGCCCGTCTGCAACGAGCCGCTACCCTTCATGAGAAGAGTTTGCGGGCGCCATGGAGTTTTCGGAAGCCTGCCTATGGCAATGCCGGAGGGGACCATCGTGGAAAGGCAAAGGGTGTCTACCACACGGAGCTCGAGGATATCGAAGAGGAGGCCTACGACTTCGACGAAGAGGCGATTCCCGAAGAGCTTGCGGCGGAGTTGCACGAGGCCTATATATGTGGCTCACGAGCAGGCGCGGGCAAAGGTCAAGGACGCGACCCGAGGCCGTACCTTCGACACTGCGAAGGGGCTCCCTGGAACCTCGGCTGAGAGACTGGCTCTTGCTAAGTCCCGGAGTTTTTGTGCTGGATGCAAGCGACGTGGACATTGGCATCGTGATCCGGAGTGTCCTCTCAACCAAGCGAAGGGCGGCGACCCAACCAAGTCCACTTCCAAGGACGGCATCGGTGCAGGCAACTCGCCTGGAAAGCCTGGAGATGGGAAGTCTGCCCGAGAAGCCTACGTGGTTCACGTGGCGTACGAGCTCGGGGACGCCCATGTCAAGGAGGGCTTGCTAGCAATCACTGACTGCGCCTGCAGCAAGACTGTAGCAGGACAACCCTGGCTGGAAGCCTACTTGGAGGCCGCGGGACGTGCTGGACTGGATCCTCAGCTCGAGGCCTGTGAGGAGGAGTTCCGTTTTGGGGCAAGTCGCGTGTTCAAGGCCACCTACGCGGCCACAATCCACTTCAACGTGCTCGGCAAGCACTTCGCGGTTAGGGCCTCCATCGTCAATGGAGAAGTGCCGCTACTTCTCAGCCGCAAGGTCCTGGCGGGTCTGGGGATGATCTATGACATCGCAGGCCACAAGGCATCCTTTGAGCAGCGACTATAAGCTCCGCTTCACCCAAACTGGACATCCAGCTTTGCCTGTACAGCCTAGCTTCCCTCTAGGCTTCAAGTCTTCTGCTCCCAAAGATTGGGAGAACCCTGAGCTCGAGATCTTCTCTTCTGCTTGCGAGCAATACACGGCTTTCATGACTTTTGCAGGCAGCAGTGAGCAGGGTGATACAAGGGCAGATCTTCGCGCAGATGGGTCCGGGTCACAGTTAGATTCTTGTACTTCAGCCCCCAAGGTGGTTAGCCAGGACAGCACTATGTTCTTCCCCAAGAAGGTCGGAGAGGTCGTTTGCAACATGCTTACTCAGGAGAGACTCAATAGCGTATTGTTCTGCAAATGATGGGCCAATACCAAGATCTCCAATGACTTCTGGATTGAGACCCCCGAGGCCTTTTTCCGCATTCACGTGATCCCAAGGCGAGGTGTCTTTGATCCTAGTCACTGGAGAACCCCCTGGGAAGAGCAACGGGCATTTCTCTTGCATGAGCTGGGCGCTGTTCGTAGCACACGGGCAATCACTTGCAGCAACCACAAAGCAGTTCCGTCAGTACATGAGGTTTGGAGAGATCCTGCAGTGCATGCATTATGGATCGGGAGAAGTGTCTTTCCGCGCAAAGCCGCTCAGCCCTCCTCTTGTCTTGAACCGGCTTTCGGTGGCCCCCAAGACCCTGAACGTATGGGACATGAACAAGAAGGAGCTCATGAGCTATGCCGAGGGCCTGGGGGTCACATATCACGAGAGTTGGACTCGAGAGGAGATCGCAGCGTGATTCAGGAGTTCAAGGAAACTCACGGGGCCTCGAAGGTGCCGAAAGGCCTGGCGTCGATGACTTTGACGGAACTTCGCCAGAAAGCCGACAGCCTCTGCATCCAGTACCCGGAGAAGGCTACAAAGGGCCAACTCCAGAAACTCATCAGAGATGGGACGCGTGCCCCGCACGAGGAGATTGTCTGCTTCGGCCGCTACAAGAATTTCATGTACAAAGAGCTCCCAGAAGGCTACCTAACGTGGGCGATTCGGGAGACGGAGGCGAACGACAACTCCTCGGACGGCCTCCGACGTCTGACCAAATGGGCCAAGAGCAGGGAGACTCCGAAGGGGTACACCACACCGGACCCGGAGGTCGGAGCCAAGATCCCCTACCCAGAGATTCCAAAAGC